CTTGGCTATATCACCTAGGCTTGTGTAAATGAACTATGATGTTCACAGTGTGGCACCTCAGGCTCCTTTTAAAACTACTACCTTGAGGGGCTCATGATTTAGCTCAGCAGCACAGCGCCTGCCTGGCAAGCGCGACGTCATGAGTTCGATTCCCGCTACCGGAAAAAAAAAACAAAAGAAAAAAAAAAACCTACTACCTTGAATTCAGTAGTCATTTCTCTATCATATCCTTCCCTCAGTATAATTAACAAAGAATGCCCAATAAAACCCTGTCACTCTCCTACCTGCCTATTTCAACAAATATCAGCTCTGCATTTATTCATGCTTTTCATATAGTTTCTACTAGTATGTCAGCCTTATAGAGGATGTGTATTGCCTGTAAATAGATAGATATATCATATGCACACATGCACATAATACCATGTATTTACACATCAACAAATATAGACTGCAAAAATGCCTGCAACACATATTGAGCATAGTCATTTGCAGGGAGGAGGGCCTTGAGGTAGGGTCTCACTATGTAGTTCATGCTGGCCTCCAACTCACTGTGTAGCCCAGGATGGCCCCCACCTTATGGCAATCCTCCTGCCTCAGCCTCTGCTGGGATGACAGGCATGTGCCACCACACCCAGAGAGAACAGCTCTTTTAAGAAAAACAAAGCATGTGTGCCCATAAATGCTACTTCAATTAGTATCCTATTTCAGTCTGTTAAAATTCTTCATTTGATAAATTATTAATACATAAAAATATTGATTGTTAACTCAAATTGTTGTGACCTCCAAAAATATTGAACTGAGTTAATGTTGAGTTAATGGCCATCTGAGTTAACACTGTCATTTTAAGTGAAAAATGAAGGTTAATAAGAGATCCAAAGAGAAACTAGTCTAAAAATGTGTACAGTGAGATGAAAACCAAACCTCTTATCCTCTGAAAAATAAAAATGAAAAATAGTCCTTAAGAAAAAATTTTAAGGTATTTGTTAACAAATTAAAATTCTAGGGCCAGGGATATAGCTCAGCGGCACAAGCACTTGCCTGGCAAGCTCAAGGTCCTGAGTTTGACTCCCGGTACCAAAAAAAAATTAAAATTCTATTTTCATCCACAATTAGCATAGCTTAGGCCAGGCATGGTGGCACATTCCTATAATCCCAGCACTTGGGAGGCTGAGGGAGGAGGATTGCTGCAAGTTCGAGACCAGCCTGGGCTAAACGGAGCTCAAGGTGAGCCTGAACTGCATGGCAAGACCCTGTCTCAAAAAGACAGGAAAAAAAAAAAATAGCACAGCTTATTACACTGGCAGGGAATTCTTTAGGGTGTGAAATTTTTCATGCCTCCTGCAGTGCCAGGATCTAATGTAAGAGTGCAATGAGGCAGTGAGAGGTCACTGTGTGGTCATATAGAATCTTAAGGCCTTTACATCTTTTGCTCACTTCGTAGGGTTAGCAGAAATGGGCAGGAATGAAGCAATCATTTCTCTTTAGTGCTGGGTATCAAACCAAGCCCTTGCACATGCTAGGCAATCACTCTGCCAAAAAGTCACACTCCCCTCCTATACCTGCTTTCTTCTTACTATTTCTAACAACTCCACTAAAATATACAAAGGTATACTAAAGTCAAATCCTAGCTCAAACTATGCAGGAAGGTATAGTCACTTCATGTATGTTGTAGCATATTTTGATTAAGTTTCTACATGTATAAATCACATATACCTAGGCTTCTTCCTGAAGTTCTCTTACCTTTTTTTTTTGTTTTTTTAAATTTTGGTTTTTTTCCGATACCAGGGATCAAACTCACAACCTCATGCTTGCCAGGCAGGCGCTGTGCTGCTGAGCTAAATCCCCAGCCCCAGTTCTCTTATCTTCAAAAAGGATTCTTCCCTGGAAGGGGTAGCAACCATCTTTAATCCCACCTCTCTGGCAGGCTGAGGTAGAAGGACCTCAATGTCAAATTCAATGTGGGCAATTTGGTGAGATCCTGTATCGCAAGATAAAAAATTTTTAAAAGTGCTGGGGCTGTAGCTCAATGCAAACACCGAGTTTAATTCCCAATATCACAACATAAAAAGGATCCTTGAAGGAGAAGCAGGGGCTGGGGATTTAGCTCAGCGGCACAGTACCTGCCTTACAAGTGCGAGATTGTGAGTTCGATTTCCGGTACCCGGGGAAAAACCACCCCCCCAAAAAGAAGGAGAAGCAAATCAAAAACATTTAAATTCAGGTTCCCACTTTGAATAGTTTATAATCACCAGAAAAGCATACAAACATTGAAGGCCGGGTAAATAGGCTATTTCTCAGTAGAAGGGTAACTTACATTTTGCATATGATGAGGGAGAAGACAGATGAACAACCCTAATCTCTCAGATCTTTCTACAAGCTCCCAGAAAACGTCCTTTAAATGAATTTGTAAGACAAAACAGTGGCAGACACTTGAGGGTGCCACACAATCAGACAGGTCTGCCCATCGAAACTTCCAGTAGTGCTCAGCTCCTTCCTCATCCTACAATATAATGGTACTTCCACACTTGGCCAGCCCAGAACATCAAGGCCAAAAGGAAACTGGGGGTGTTTGGAATAAAAAAAGAAGGCTTGAGAATCTGAGAAGAGGCCAAACAGAGAATGGCAGAGACCATGAAGCAATCTTCGGCTTATCTTCCGTGCAATTAGACCCACAAGTCAGATGAGAACTGCCCGCCATATTGATGACCTAGTGGAATCAACCTTCTGGACCTAGCTGGTCTAATCTGTTCCTTCTCCCAGGCTGCCTACAAAACTGGCAGCAATTGTTCTTTTCTCCTGTCCTCCCATGTCTCTTGCGACATGACTGCAGTTCCTCCCATTAAGGGATGGAATCTATTTCCTCATCTCCTGAATCAGGGCTGGCTTTGTGATTTGCTTTAATAGAATTCATTCATACAAAGTAAGTTTATACCAGTTATAAACCTAAGCCTTGTGTGCAGGAGACCTTCTATACCTCTGCACTTTCTTTGAATCCCGTTAGCCAAACTGTTAACAAGCCTGACTTACTCAGATTCCAGATTAGAGACCGCATGAAACACAGAGTTGCTAGCTCTAAACCCACCCCCATGAATGAACTTGATTCCAGTCAAGAGAACTTGCCCAGATCCAAAGAACCACCCAGCTGGGAACCCAAACTGCCAACCCACAAATTCAAGAGCTAAATAAATGTTGGCTTGAAGTAACTAACTAAACCTGGTAATGTGGTGATTTGTTAAGCAGCAAAACCTAACTGATACAGTAAAACATGGATTCTTCATGAATTCATTCCATAAATATTTATTAAACACCTTCTGTATTTTAATTACTGCTCCAATAGTTACTGAGGATACAAAGATTAATGCACAGTGACACCTGCAATTATAGTTACTTCCTCAAATCATACTTAAAAAAAAAAAAAAAAAAAAAAAAAACAGTAACAAGATCTAAGAGGCCACATTTGAGCTACTTTTTAAAAGCAAAACAGTAATGTGCCAGATAGGTCTGGACATCAGAAGTGGAAGAAACAGCATGTGCAAAAGCATAGATGTGGGGAAGAACTCAAGGAATGTTCTAGGAATGGAAAATAGCTCAGGACAGATGGAGTGTAGGGAGGAGATGGCAGATGATGGAGCAGGAAAAACAGATGGAGGCAAATAACGAAGGGTCTCATATTGTAAATCATGCTATGGGATTTGACTGCCTTGTGTAGGCAGCGGAGAGCTACAAATCGTCTTTAAGGAGGAAATGGCATGATTAAAGCTGATGACAAGTGGAAGATGGATTAGAGGGTAGAGTACAAATCAGGAAGACCAGTTGGGAGGCTATTACTACATCCTCAAGGAAGATTAAAGAACTTGAACCACAAGACAGTGAATAAGAGAGAAGACATCTTTGAAAGATGTTTCAGGGATAGGAAAAAGGCTCAGCAGCCTTGACAACCAACTAAATATGGGCTGTGAGGGTGATGAAAGTTGTGTAGGAGGACTGGGGACAGTGCCAAGACTTCTACTTCAGAATCCCAAATTCATGGTAAATAGATTGAGGCACGAAAGCAGCAGAGCAGACTGGAGAAGAACCACCTATGCTTCCTATAAAGGTACTTGCAAGACAGCCAGATGTCCAGGAAGCAGTTAAGGATATGGATCAAGACCCTGAAATAGTGGACAGGTAGTACAAGCAGGAGATAGAGATCTGGGGGGGCGTCTAAAAACAAGGAGCAGAGGGAAGGGGAGAGCTCAAGATATTAAAATGAAAGTCAATGTGAATGGCAAGGCATTCAGGGAAAAGCTACAGAATGGGGGGGGCGCTAATAAATGGCAGAATCCTGAGGGACATTAAAACTTCACAGGCTAAAGGATAGATGTGGGTCCAAACAGTAGCAATGGTCCTTGGAGGTACAACACGGGCAGAAAAAATCATTCAGCAAGCATGGATTAGAAGTAGAGGAGGAGGATATCCAACCCATTATTTTGCCGCTGTCCTAATGCTGGTTCTCCCACTCCACAGAAGTCCCGGATATTAATTAGTGACAAGGGCAGCAACAATGGGGATCATATGAATTACAGCACCTGCCTCCATGGATATTATTGAAAACTCACATTTTTTCAAACCCCTTTTATGCTACCTACTATGGCAAAATCCAAAATCTGAAAAATGCTACACCTGACTTCACGTGATGGATCAAAATCAACAGACAGACCAAGAAATATTGTTTAAGATACTTTCAAGGTGTATGTATAAGGTACAATTGAAGCATAAATGAGTTCTGTGTCTATACATGGGCCCCATCCCAAAGATGTTATATTATGCATATGCAAATATGTTAGAACCTAAAAAAAGTTCAAAATCCCAAACACTCTGGTCCCAAGGATTTTAGATTAGGGAGACTAAACCTGTATCTAATTTACTACATCTTCCAAACAAATTGTGTCCATATGGGGCTGGGGATTTAGCTCAGCGGCACAGCACCTGTCTGGCAAGTGCAAGGTCATGAGTTCGATTCTTGGTACTGGAAAAAAAGCAAAAAACAAACAAACAAAAACACAAATTGTGTCCATATGTTTTCCCCAGTAACTAAAAAGGAGACTTTTAAAAAGTAATCCTGGCAGGTGGGCACGGTGGGACATGACATGTCTGTATCCCAGCTATTTGGAAGGCTGAAGCAGGAAAATTACAATTTTGATGACACACTGATCAGTTTCAGGAAATGCCATCTTAAAACAAAATTTTTAAAAAGGACTAGGGATGTTCCTCTGTGTTACAGTACTTGCCTAACATATGAGGCCTTGGGCTCAATCCTCAGTACTACACACACACACGCACACACACATACCACACACCCCGGGAGCTCTAGGGCTGGCAACTGCTCCCCCACTTAACAATGGGTGGTGCCCGAGGATAAGGGAGTACAGCCTCTGGGTGGCAAGAGGTAATCATGGAGATAGGCTGTGCTTGGGTATGTTCAGCATCTTGGAGAACTGCCTCCTGCCCGAAGACAAGCTCCATCTCAAGCTGTCCATGTGTCAAAAGACTGACCTCTGTGTGGTAGGCTGCAAGCTCAGGCAGAAAGAACCCAAAAGACGGCAGAGATTTCCTAAGTAGAGCAAAAAAGCAATAGCCGTAAGAGAAAAATTAATAGTTGGTTTCATTAAGGCCATCAAAAGTGCTGAGGCATGGTATTATATTCCTATAATCCCAGCTACTCGGGAGACTGAGGCAAGAGGACTGATAAGTTCAAGGCTAGCCTAGACAATTTAGAGACTTCATTTTAAAATAAAGTTTAAAAAGGGGTAGGGATATGAGCTTAGCACTGTCATTACTGGAAAAAAAGCATCAGAGGATACCAATGAAACAGTGAAAAAAAGGGCAAACTACAGACTGAGAGAAAACACTCATTATATAAAAAAATTTCTTACAAATAATAAAAGGAAACCAATAAAAGAGGGCAAAAGACTTCAACAGGCACTTCCCAAAAGCATATATACGTGCCAGAAGTATATAAAATGGCATGCAACATCAATACTCACCAGGAAATGTACACCAAAACTACAAGGACTATCTCACCCACTAGGATGGCTACTATCATAAAATAGAAACTAACATACGTTGCTGAGAATATGGAGAAATCAGAACTGTTGTACACAGCTATTAGGAATATAAAATGATATGTGCTATGGAAACAATATGGCAATTCCTAAAAAATTAAAAATGGAATTATCCTAGCAATTCTGCCATAGATATATACCTGAAAAATTGAAAGTGGAGTCTCAAAGAGATACACCCGTGTTCATAGTAGCATTATTCACAAATGTACAAAAGATGAAGCAACTCAAGTGTCACAGATGAATGGATAAACTAAAAGCACAGATACACAGGAGAATATGATTTCCAACATGGATAAACCCTGAGGACAGAAAGTAGAATGGTGGTTGCTGGAGACTGAGAAATGCAGAGAAGGAAGATGGGGCATTATTATTTAATAGGTAGAGTTTTAGTTTTGTGAGATGAAAAGTGCTCTACAGATGGACTGTGATGGTTACATAACAATGCAAATGTACTTAAGGCCACTATCTGTATATCTAAAAATGGCTAAAATGGTAAATTTTGTGTCATGTGTGTTCTACCATAATTTTTAAATTCCTTTTTTTTGCAGTGCTGGGGATGGAATCCATGAGTCTCCCGTATGCTAGGCAAGTGATCTACCACTGAGCTACTCCCACATGCCCCTGAAAAAAATTCGTTCAAAATCCCATGTAAAGATACTACTATCCCCACCAAAACATCAGAAATTCAAAAGACCGAAAAGCTGGGCACAATGGTATATGCCCATAGTCCCACCTACTCAGGAGATGGGAAGTTGGCCAGAGCCCAGGAATTCTCCACTAGTCTAGGTAATACATCAAGACCTTGTCTCCAAACAACAACAACAAAAAAGACTTGAACACCAAATGTCAGTAAAAATGTAGAGGAAATCTTGTGCAGTACTGGTGTGTGTTTTTGTTTGCTTGTGGTACTCAGGATTGAGCCCATGGCTTTGCCACTGGGCTAAATTCCCAGCCCTTTATTTTGAGACAGGGTCTTGCTAAATTGCTAAACTGCCCTGAGTGGGCTACAACATGTGACCCTCTTGCCTCAGCCTCCCAGAGTGTAGGCATTACAGGAGTGCACCACCAACTCGGCTCCGGTGGAATTTAAATTGGTATTGTATAACCACTCAGGAAAACTATTAGGCACTATCTACTAAATCTAAATACTATGACCCTACAATCTCTTTTTAGGTTTATGCCTAGAAAAATGAGTGGGAATGTGTACCAAAAGACATCAGCAAAAATGTTCACAGCTGTTTTATTCACAGTAGCCAAAAACTGGCCACGACCCAAAGATATAATTGGGAAAGAGATATACAAATTGTAGCATATCCATATAATTACTATTCAACAACAGATCAGAAAGAACTTCTGATCCACATGACCACACAGACATTTTGTTACATGAAAGATGACATGCATAGAATTTCTACTGTATTATCTAATGGAGCTTAAAAGTGGATAAAATTAGTGGATGTAGTCTTGTAAAAAAAAACTATAATGCAGTTACCTTCATATTGGAGGCAGATGAATGATGAACAGAAAGGGCAGGAAGAAATCTTCTGGCATATCAGAAATGTTCTACAGCTTGACCTGTCACAGGGTTATAGGCATGTAAAATTAACTAAGCACTACACGTTAGAGTAATACATTTTATGCACTTTACCATATGGTTCACCTTCAAGTAAAATATCTCTATAACACCCAATGTCTCCAACAATGAGTATGTTACGATTCAAAAATAATTAAATCTTAACCTTGTTCTTTTTCATTCTGACTTAGAAGATTAGACCCTATTCCTCCTCCCAGACGCGTTCGGAGAGTTACTTTCCTGTTTCTTCAGTCAGATAATGAATCTGACTAAATCTCAGGCAGACCAAGCTTAACACATTTTTAAATGTTCAAGTGTTACTGAAGCCATTCCTTATACATGGGCTCCCAATGTGATACCAGTCATTAGTGCAGTCTTTGAGTCTGAGCTTCCAACTTGCTTTCTACTGGTTAAATTTGATTTTGTTTTCATCTTCAAGAACACCATCCCTTTGTTTTACACCTTCATTACCATGAGCTAAACAAATCCTCCCTCAGCTATAAAAGCAGAATGTCAAAAATCACAAGGTAAAGTATCATCGCCTTCTGACATTACGAACATGTACATCCCTTGCAGAACAGAAACCTTCTTTCCCTTTAACAGCCATCTTGATGCCCGACTCTTATATAGCCCCTTTACACAGCCCAACACCGTAACTAGCTTCCCTGTGGAAGTGCCAATAGCTATGTTATGGCTTGCCATTCTCAGGAAAGAAAATGAAAATCCACAAAAAGATGAACTCTGTGCCACCTCAGGCTTCTTCTGCCATTCATAATAATGTGCACATTAAGAACCTTAATATGCAGAACCTTACATTGTAATGATAATCACAGCCAAACCTTTTGATGTCTTTTACAACCTTGATTGTTTCTGATCTACATACAACTCATCCGTATTTCAATAAAGTGGGCAAGTTAGGGGTCTAGAAAAGCAGCCAAGTAGGAGAAAAATGACAGACAGGTTAAAAACAGAAAGACTGGGTTAAAAGAAGCCTCCCAATGCCCTCTGTATTGCAATCAATGAGACGTAAGTCAACAGTGAGAGACAAGTTTTATTAAAGGCAGATCCAGTTACACTGCTGCACAGTGTGATTCTTTAACAGCTCCCCAAATAAAATTGTTCAGAACAATTAGCAGTTTTAATAGTTTCAGGAAAAATGTTTTTTAAAAGCAAGTACCAAATAACAATTGGTTAAATGCAAAGTCTTACAAAGAGAAAATAATGCTTCTTTTAGAACAGTAGAGTCAGATAACACAATAACATGCAGTATTTTTATTTAAGTAAATTGTCGGAAATAGGTTAGACTTGTTTTCTCCTCCCAGACCTCAAAATAAATTTCATTTCATAGGTCTATACAAATGTCAAAATATTGACCATAAGAGCAAATGGGTTAGTACTACTGGAATGCATTAATTATAAAGCTGGATAGGCGGATTAATTGTCCTACATACCTGTGGTTTTTCAGATTCCTGTGCTTGCTTACTCATGTACGTACATTTAACTCTTATTTTTTTTTTAAACCACTGCTAGAAGCTCCCGATTTGGCTTCTACACTGCCACCTGTAGACATAAAAGAGAAATAAACTGTGAATTATTCATCAACAATGCATCTTTTCTAGGTATCTAACAGGAGCAACTGGGGAAAAAGTGGCAAAAGACTTGCTCCAAAACACAAAAACCTTATATTCTTTCTCCTCTTGTGCGAAATTCCGCAGGCATTCCTCTCTCCCAATGATTTGAGAAATTATTTAATTAGAAATTGAAATATACCTACATCCCAGATCATCAACTACCTAACTCTCCGATCAGTTCCTTAAAGAGATGGAGTCACAGACCAACTTAATAGCCATTTCAAGACCTGTCGTTTAAAATCAGAAGCTAATCGGCCCATTTTGTTAATTAGGTAATTAAGAATTGAATAAAATATCAAAATGAGAAGAGCGAGTTGAGATCCACATTAAGGTTACTTTACACAAGGTCTAAGACACCTATTTTAAATAATTCTAACCTGAAACAGAGCTTTGTCCAATCTAAACACTTTGATGGGGATATTTTCATCTTATGCCTGATTTGAACGCGATGAATGCTGAAAGGTCCGTTTTACCCCATGCATTTCAGATCTTCAGCCCTTTGAAAAAATAAAGGAAGAAAAGAGAGGAAAAAAAAAAAAAAAAAAACTAAATCAGTAAAGGACCAGAGGAACAAAAATACATGACCAACTAACAGCGAGTCCAAGCATCCAGGAGATGAAAGGAGTGAATGTATCGGAGAGAAAAAAAAAACAAACGACAAATACTGAAATTCTGGAGTTAACTGAAAAGAACAGACCGCGCCACGCAGCTTTTTACCTCTTCGAATCCCACAACGTATCCAGCACAAGTGCTCCAGCTCCAGCACCTTTAACTAAAAACACAAGCACCACCCCTCGCCCCACCACTAGGTGAGGCAGCGCCAGAAGCCACCGAGCGAGCGCGCCAGCCCGACCCCGCTACCCAGCAAATCCCGAGGCTTTTTTGCCCAACTAGAGATCCGCCTTACCCGTAATTTTCTTTAATGCCCCGAAAGCCAGTTTTGGTTTATGGAACTGCAGGAAATCCAAGAAAATCAAATCTCCTTTAGAAACTCTCCTTCTGACGGAGATTTACACACAACTCTCCCTTGCCTCCCAAACCCGAACACGCGCTGGGCTATCATCCCAAGAGGGTCTCCTGGGGACCCGGGAATGACCACGACTACTCACTCCCACGTGATTCCATTAAACGTTCGTCCACACGCGCACGAGAGGCTCGAGTCTGTGCACGGCCGGCCCCAGGAGATAAGTTCAGCACACCCACTCTGCACCCACAAACGTCCACCCTGGCCCTGAAAGCGCGAGGGAGCCCCGGGAGCACGCACCAGCGCCAGCACACAATAACTCGACCAACTCCAGCCTTCCCGCACACGCCGGGCCGGTCCTGCCACCAGCCTGTCCTCCCACGGTCCCCTCGGTCCCGCGGGCCGGGAGCAGGAGGCGTCCTGATGGTCGCTGGGTGTGAGTTGTTTAGGAGGCGCGACCTGCACATTGCGAACAGAGAAGGGGGTCGAAGTCTGCCAAAGCCGCCTGGGTGGTCACTCCCTTAAAGGGGACGGGGTGGGGGTGGGGACAGTGAGACTCCGAGGACTGAATCTTACTGGAGCAGCTTTCCTCACCTCTTCCCCACCCAGTACGGCTCCCGCGCACACCGCGGGGCTGTGCACCTTTCTCCCGCCTCCGGATATGCCCGGCCCTTACCCCGAGTGCAGCGGCCTGGAAGTGGGGAGGACATCCAGCCGCGGCAGCGGGTTCGGGGTGCCCACCTGCGCGCAGGGTCGCCGGTGCGCCCGCGGCTCCACCGTCTTGCTCTGCTGAAGGCGGCGATGGACAGAGCGCCTGACTCCAAGGTCCTCCACGCTCCACTGGAGTGGTGGTCCTCGGGTCGGTTGCTCCACGCGGGAGAGTCACCCACCTAGCTCGCAGGTTCTGCCACTGTTCCTGGGTCCTATAGAAGCCAAACTGCGCACCCCACCCCTTTCCCGCCGCCCCGCGTTGCGCTGCGCTCCGCCCACCTATTGCTGCTGGGGCCCAGCTGGGGGCTTCAGAGCCCGCGCCTCGTGCCGCAGATCTCGGGCTGGGGGGAGGGCAGGGAGCGGCATCCGGATCCGCCCCGACCCCCAGGCCCCTAACCCACTCCCCACTCCAGGGGGTCCGCGGCGGTCGTCCGCACTTACCCCGAGGCCAACAGTGTGGGCACCAAGCGCTCTTCCCCCGTTCTTCTGGCGTCTTTTCTTTCTCCGCAAGGCACCTTCCCTGGCACCGAGGGTGCCGTGTGTCTTGGGGGGAGGGGGCCTGAAGCGGGGTGGAGAGAACCAAAGAGTGGAGGCGAAGAAATTACCATGTCAACTGCCAGGGGATGCAAGTTGCTGCCTGCGCCTTGTTTCTGTTACGTTAACTACCTGGATGTGCTGCTGTCCTTGTTATAACCGCGATAATATTCACAGACATGAATGTAAGATTTTCAAGCTAATTGGTGTAGTGTTGTCGGGTTTTTTGTAATTTAATGATGACAAAAGACAGCACATTTACTTTTTTAAAAGTTGCTTTGCAGATACGTATTTTATATGTATATAAAGCCACATCTCTGATTTTTAAAAATAGCAAAATATAAATAACAGAACAGCAGTTTTTTTACAGAAACAGAGCCAGTGTGTATGTGTTATTGAAACCTACTGTAATTATATTAATTGCTTCTCTTTAAAGTGTATTTTAGGTATTTCCCAAAACAGGCCCAAAATTTAGGGATTAAGAGCCCCTAAGTTTTAATTTGGCTTTTTGCCACAGTTCTAAAATGTCAATTTCATGGAAATTACTAAATGTAGTTATTTAGAAAAGTGGACCCTTTTTCTTCCAGGTTGGCAGCACTTTTAGATTTGGCAAAGGACAGATTTTTTTTCTTAAGCTAATAAAATTCTCATTCATTTTCTGATGATGGACTATCTGGTCTAGTAGCTTTTTCTTTATTGTTTTTCTCTTTCAGGTAAACTTTCTTTCTGGTTCTTAAATTTTTCTTCAAAATTTTCTCCCTAAATATAAGTAAAGTGACAGGTAGCATGATTCTGAGCCTTTGTTTTCTTAAAGGGGATAGGAAAATTAAGTATAGTTCACTATCAAAATCCATTCCAGGCCCATAATACTAAATTTCACACCGATTAATCCTGTTTTTCAACTCTGCTTTTAGTAATTCCACCTAACACTTGAGAACCAAGACTTTTTACGTTTCCTCCTTGTAAGAATAAAATGTGCACTTTTTAATTAACATTTTGAACCGAAATTAAATTCATTAAATTGACTAATGAAAAGTATATTAGTACAGTACGTGCTGCCGGGTAAATGAGGACAATGTGGATGATAAACAGTTCTCAAAAAGAGACTCTGAAGCAAAGAAAATAGTCTTTACAAAAACTGAAGATCTCCTTTTCAAGGAAAGGATGACAAATGCCAGTAATTATGCAAAGAATGACTGCTGCCTCTTTTCTCTTTGCTTTGGTTTTGTGGCTAGGCCTGCATTTATCTCTTTTGATCATCATAATAAAAGTAAAGTAATTCAACATTTCAGTGACATTACTTAGTAAATTAACAATTTGAAAATGCTTTTATTAGCTAATTAATCCGAGTAAATGCCTCCAATAAATCTGGTTTTACTCTTGTATTTCTTTTGTGCCTCCAGAGAAACACTTGGAAGAAATAAAACAGCTAAGGCAAGCTCAACAAATGCAGGCCAGATTCTTTGGGTGTATATGTGTTGCAACAGAGTTAATATTAAGTGACCTTTGGGTCTTAAATTACATATCATATATTGGTTATGAATTACTCATTGGCTGCTGCTTTAATGAGTTCCTGTGTGTTTGCTTTGCCCTGTTTGTTCCCCCATTTCTGCCTGTCTGCTTTATTGAATCTATCTTTGCTTAAACTATTTTCATTGAATTTCCAAGAATCAGACCTAATCCACAGCTCACTTGCCAATCATCTTTGTCGTTCAAGTTGAGTCTCCCTTGAGGTTTTCTTGGTAAGAATCCAACATGATTAAACTTCCAAAATTTGAAAGAGCAGTTCATCAGGCATGGTTGTAACTAAGAGATAACAATCAGATTTCTCAAAACCAGGAGGGTGTGACCCATCTGAATAAAAAGAAGAAAGGAACAAAAACAACAAATCTATTTTGTTAAGATCAAAAGTAGCACAACAAAATCTCGATTGAAATTCTTTCTAAGCTAAATTGTGCTACAAGATGCATAAAAAGTACAATTCAAATAATTTTATCTGTAGTTTCTTCTGCCACTATAAATCCTTTGCTCCACTGACCAAACACCATTACATTTCACATTTCCTTTTTAGTTCCTGTGCTATTGAGAATGTTCCACTGACTTTTAAATAAGAAAGTGCACTCGACACTCCCACTGTCCCCGGGGAATTCTGTGTCACCCTCCATTTGGTTTCAGACCGCCTCTTGACTTGTCTGTGATACTGATGAGAACAGATCTGAAAATCGCATGTAAACCCCTGGGTGGGTAGTACTAATGATTAATCCATCTTTAAAACAGTAGAATTAAAATAAAACATGAATTTTTGTTTCAACGGTTTAACCCTATCAGTATCTCCCTTCTTATTCTCACCCGAGCAATAAGTTTCTGTACATGTTAGCTTTTTCTCTCGAGAAATTCATTCCTAGTAGCTATTTTAATAGTGTTTGTTTGTTTTGAGGTTGGTGTTTTGGGGGGGGGTCCAGTTATACTTTGGGCTGTGAGTCTGAGCATAACAGTCTTCTTTTTTTCCTATGATAGCTGAGAATGGCCTATGGGGAAATTATAGGACAGTTATTTTGCCATATTCTTCTTCTAGCTATAAGAAAACCATGAATTAAGTTACTTCACTTTGGTTGATTAGGATTAGTGAACAACATCATTGATTCTAATTTGCAGAATGATATTTCTTTAATTGGTCTCTTTCTTGTGTTAGAAAAATATAACACCAGTTATCTCACAAGGCAATGAGGACAGAGTCTATCCGTGTAATGTTCAGATTGAACTGCTGATGATCTAAGTTACTTAAAAGTTTGTGTGTGTGTGTGTGTGTGTGTGTGTGTGTGTGTGTGTGTAGGTAGGTGTGTGTATGTATAATTCAAAGCTAAATATAAATCTAAATACTTACAGTAGATACTTCAGCTACAAAACCTTTGATAGACCCTCCTCACTGTTTTTGGATATGTGATAAACTGAAGAAACCTCATTATTTACCTTACTCATAGGAAAGTACCTTTTTTGAACAGAGATCTTCCCATGAATTCCTAGCACCAATTATTTAACCATATCATTCCATGATTTTTGAAAAAGGGAAAGCGAGTAGGAACAAGTAAAGACAGTATGATATGATGATTAAATATATGGCTGGTGAGCACAACTGATAAGCACATCAGCTTACTAAAATTCTGATTTCCTCCCACTGTGGGCAATTTTTATTGTGCAGTTTCATGGTTGACCATCAAAGCCCTATTCCTAGACATAAACACATGTATAGTTAATCATTATGTGTCATAGTTGGAATCATGTCCCTTAAAATAGTATGAAATCCTACTTCGTGGTACATATAAATGTGACCTTATTTGAAAAGAAGATCCTTGCAGGTGTAATTAAGATGTACGTTAAGTCATAGCGGAGTAGAATGGTCCCTTAATCCAATATAAATGATGTCTTTACAAGAAGAGAAAACAGAGTCACAGAGGGAAGTTGGCCGTGTGAAGGCAGAGGGAGATTGCAGTTATGTGCCAGAAGCCAAGGAACATCTAGAGTTACTGAAAGTCAGTGAGACAAGAAAAGATTTTCCTCTAGAGGCTTCAAGAGGGGCCTATTTCTGCCAGCACCTTGATTCATGGTACTTTGCAGCCCTAGGAAACCAATGCACTAGGGGATCATCATAAACTCTTGGCGATGCCAGTCCATTATCTTCTACACCCAGAACAGAGTAAGTATTCAAGTATAGCATGTATAAGAATGATAGATAGAGTCATTTTTGTGCAGGAAGAACAAAAGCAAGGTAGAATCATCCAGGAATCAGGTGAAATCTTGAGAATTTACTTAATCTAATAGCTCCTTCAAAATGGGACTCTCTTAATAATTTAGAATCACATTGTCAAAGAATTTCAACAGGTTCAAAAAATCTTGTTTATTTTTCTCCTTTGAAAGTATGTTATGCCTGGATGGTATGATTTTTAAAAGTTCAAGGTAGGGTCTTCTGCCCATATTGTACCTCCTAACACTCAAACGTACCCCACTAATTCAACTCCACCTATAAGTATTGTAATAGCTTCCTCCTTTTAAGTATTGAAGTTTTTGGTCTTCCAGTAGCCCCAAACTAAACATAAATATTATAAAATATTATACAAATATAAATGAGTTTGGAAAATTTCCCAACCTTAATTCACATTAGTTCTCAATTTAAATGTTTCACAGTTCATTGTTATATCCTCTCACTGCCTGGTGGAGTGCTGAGTTCATAGAGTATCCTCCATAAGTATTTGCCAAGTTAATTGAAAAGCTGAGATTAGTAAGAACTAGATGAAGGATTGAATAAGGTAGTACCTTAGTCTATTTGTGCTGCTATAACTAAATACCTGAATAAATTATAAACACAGAAACTTATTTTCATAGTTTAGGAAGCTAGGAGCTTTTTTCTTTTTCTTTTTCTTTTCTTTCTTTTTTTAGAGATAGGGTCTCACCATGCAGTTCAGGTTGGCCACAAACTCTCTGTGTAGCCCTGGCTGGCCTCAAACTTGTAGCAATCTTCCTGCCTCAGCCTCCTGAGTGCTAGGATTGCAAGCATGCACCACCACACCCAGCTTAGTTTAGGAAGTGAGGAAGTCCAAGATCAAGGCATTGGCAAATTCAGTGTCTGGTGAGGGTCTGTTCCTCATATAAGGCCTTTTCCCTGTGGTTTCAGAAGATAGAAGGATTTGGCTCATTCCCTCAAGCCTTTCATGAGGCAGTAATTCCAGTCATGAAGGTAGAGCTGTCCTGTTTTAATCACCTTCTAAAGGCCTCATTTCTTAATGCTATGCTTCAGGGATTAAGTTTCAACATGAATTTTGGAGGAGTCACAAACATTCAAATCATAACAGGTGGATAGAGGAGAGACAGAGTAGAAGAAAAGGAGAGCCCAAGATAAACTTAGTCTTGGAGCTTTATGTGGGAGAAGTCCACATAACAGCAACTACCTGATTCCAATAGTAACATGGGACTGTAGCACAGGGCTGAAAGGTCCCAGGAGCCTTATTCTCTTTTTTCTTCCTAATCCACTCAGCATTTGTGGCCCTAAGGAGTAGTGCAGGGGCCAGGGATA